GATCTTTGGGCCCTGCTGAATTCAGAAAGGATGTTCAATCATCTTAACTGGGCAAAAAACTCAAGGAGTTCCTAGTCCAAACTAATTTAAATCTCTGTTTTATTTACCCCCAGTCTATAATCTTGGAAAACTTGAAGGCAGAAGAAATAATAACCCATGATGATATACCCACGTGCCTCCAACTATCTTCAAGAACATTTCCATTCTTGGCACTTAAGATATTGGGCAGCTTTCCGTACACATGTCCTGCCACTATGAGACAGTCATGGCTTCTATGTCAACTCTCATCAAAGGAAGTGACAGATTGGTTCTGTGAATTATAACTACTCAAAGCTCTCCAAGGATTGGGATCTATTCCTCATCATCTGTTCTTGTTTGCCTTTTCATTCATAAGGGCATGTAGGACAAATAACCCTTCTCCTTCTTGATAGCCCTTTTATACAGGAAGAAAGAGGGATTATGGACAGAAAAGATGAAAGGAAGAAAGAGATTATGTTCTCCCTGTATTCTCTTCTCTAGGCTGGACACTTTCATTCAGAAGCTCATAGGTCTGGAGCTCGAAGAGTCATTCTAGGCCATTTAGCCCAACCCCCTCATTTGACAGTTGAGGAGACTGAGATGGAGAGATGCGAGGTGACCTGCTCACAGTCACACAGTAGTTAGTGACGGTCAGCACTCAAGTCCTTTGACTCCACATCTAGTCCTTCTCCCACTGTACCCCATCACCTCCTCTCCTCCAATCACCTGAAACCCTTCCCAGCGTTGGCGGTCCTAAAAAGGGGTCACCCAGTTAGTGGTGTTTACCTGCTGCTCTCCACACGTGGCATTCCACTTCCCACCTGTACCTTTGCTCAGGTTCATTTGCCCATGACTGGAACACAACTATCTCCTTACCTATCAGAATCCTGAGCTGGCCTTGATGGCTTAGCACAAGGCCACTTCACATAGGACGTCTCTCTTGATCTCCAAATTTGCTTGTTTTGGCCTTCCCTGAAATCACTTTGCACTCAGACAGTATCTTGTGTTTACTTATCTGTGTGTACATGTTGTTTTCCCTCAATAGATTGTAAGGTTTGTCCTTTTTTTTTTTTTTTTGTACCCCCAGAGCCTAACTTAGTGCCTGGCATACAGGTATGTATATTTAATAAATTATTTGCTGAATGGATGATGCCCAGAACTGAATACAATATCCCAGATTCTGATCAGGGCAGAAAACAGCAGGATCATCACTTTGCTAGATTTAGACAGTTCTCTTAATGCATCCAGATTGTCTTTATTTCACTTGAGAGCTTAATTTTGTTTGCCTAGATCAGGGGTGGGGAACCTTGGCCTCGAGGCCACATGTGGCCCTCTAGGTCCTCAAGTGTAGCCCTTTGAATCCAAAAGGGTCCACTTGAGGACCTAAAGGGTCACATGTGACCTCAAGGCTGCAGGTTTCCCACCCCTGGCCTAGACCCTAGGTTAAGAAGTTCTGTTTTTTTTTTTTTTTTAAGGCAATTGGGGTTAAGTGACTTGCCCAGGGTCACATGGCTAGTAAGTGTCAAGTGTTTAGTCTGAGGCCGGATTTGAACTCAGGTCCTCCTGACTTCAGGGCCGGTGCTCTATCCACTGCGCCACCTAGCTACCCCAAGAAGTTCTGCTCTTGAGAAAGTCCCTTATATAAGACTTTATTAAATTTCATCTGTCAAGACTGCTGGCCATAACCTAGGTATAGCACTGGTAAAGTCAGGAAGACCCAAGTTCAAATCCACCCTCAGATGGGTAACAGCTGGGTGACTCTGGGCAAATCACTTCCTCTCTCTCATATTTGTAAAATGGGGATAAAAACAGTACCTACCTCCCAGGGTGGATGTGACAATAAAATAATATTTTAAAGCTCTTTGTAAAACTTAAAACATTTTAAGGTACATGTAAATGTTATATAAATGTAAGCTTTTCTTCTTCTTAGGAAGCACTATCATATTTTCAGTTGAAACTTCTATTATATGTTTTATAACACTGATAAATGCTCAATCCATTCCACATTCATATCATGATCCTTGTCATGATTCCTAAGCTTTTTAGATAAAAAAAAGACTTTTGTAAAGTAATATGAAATAAAGGATATAATTTGAGTTATATCCCTGAGTTACCTCTTTCAAAATTTCCTAACTTTTTAAATAAACACCAAATTTGGTTTTATTATGGAGATAGAGAACTGGTTTCAGAGTCAGAAAGACCTAGGTTTAACTACTGCCTCTGATACACACTGACCATATGAACTAGGCAAATCACTTAGCCTCTTGGTGCCCCAGGAAACAGAATCTCTAAATTGCAGAGAAGTTGTTAAGTTCTCTTGAAATCACAGGTTTGATTAAGTAATATTAGGTTCAATCCAATGTTCAAGCCTATTGGGAACTTTTTGAATCCTGATTCCATCATATAACATGATTTATTTCTTCTAGCTTTTTGTTACCTGTGTATATAAACTTAATATTTTTGCCTTGCTACAAGTAACTGATAAAAATATCAAATAGTAAAAATCACTGGAGCAATGTTGACAATGAACTCTTTTGGGTCCAGTCATTCAACTATTTTTTAATCCATCTAACTATGGTATAATCTAAGTCACATCTTACTCAAAAGGACATCATGGGAGACTTTATCAAAAGCTTTACTTAAATCTTTGATAAACTATATCTACAGCATTTCTATCTCAGTTTTTTTTTTTTGGGGGGTGAGGTGATTGGGGTTAAGTGACTTGCCCAAGGTCACACAGCTAATAAGTATCAAGTATCTGAGGCCACATTTGAACTCAGGTCCTCCTGACTCCAAGGCCAGAGCTCTATTCACCATGCCCCCTGGCTTCCCTACAGCATTTCTCTGATGATAAAAGGAAAAGTTAGACTGACATGAGCTATTCTTGATGAAGCTATGTTGATTCTTTGTGAGCACTTCCTTTTCTAGCTGTTCATGAATAATGTGACCAAACAGGGTTCAAATTCAAGATCACTGGTTTCTAGTTTGTAGACTCCATTCTCTTCTCCTTTTTGTAAACAAAAAGTTTGCCCCTCTCCAGGCCTGGGGCACCTTGATTGCTTTGCAATACCTTTATATGACTGCTTCAGCAGTCACAACGTCTGGGATGTAGTTCATTTGAGCCTGATGGCTTGAAGTCTTCAGGCAAAACTGGCTGCTGGCTGCTTTCTGTCTCTCTACTTACCTACAATATCAACTCTGTATTAGCCATTTTGGTTCTATTCTTTCTAGTTCAAATTTCATTCTTCTTGATAAAGCAACAGCAAAATATCAGGCAAATGGTTCTGTTTTCTCTGTCAGTAATTTTACAGCATTTCATTCACCCATGTAAATTATTTCTATGTAAAGAGTGTTTCTAAAAGTGCTTGAGGTATATACACTTTATGCTCTGAAAATTTAAATGTTCCCTCTGAATTCTTACATAGTATTAATTTGCTTAGTAAACTTGCTAATTTCCTCCACAGATGCATAATGGTACATGTTGGTCCAGCCCTGAGTTCCTGAATCCTCTTTTGATGGGCCTCAGAGAGTTCATTTTTATTATGGTATAATAATACTTGCAATCACAGGGTGACTGTGAGAGGGCCCTTTGTCAGTGGCAAAGCATCATATCAATGTAAACTATGACCAACAGCAGTAAAAATCCTTAGAAACCTTAAAAAAAGGTGTTTTGCATTTATTTCGGAGATATATTAGATAAAGAGAGTAAAGGTAGAAGACAGAAATGGATGTCTTCCATTTTGAACATCAGAAGCAGAGGAATTCTGGCAGAAGAAAGGTGGTGCTAATGATCCAAGAGGCATGGAGCCCTTTGTCATTTGTCATCTTCCACTCAGGGTCCCAGCTCGGTCTGCCCCAGGGTCTAACATCTGGAGAACTCAAAGCTGTAGAGGGTTTGCTAGACTTGTATTAACGTCACAGTGCTAAGTATCATGTCACCTTTTAGATGCCATGTCAGCATAGTTTAAGTGATCAAATATATATATGATAAGATCCTTTACAGGGGAGGGATAATGCTTTAGATCTCTGAATCATCCACGGATTTATACACAGTAGGTGATCAATACATATTTGTTTATTTCACATTTGATCTGTTGGGAACTGGACCTGGAGACAGGGGAGATCTGGGTTCTAATCCTATTAGTTATGGACAAGTCACTTCTCTGAGCCTCAGTTTCCTCATCTATGAAATGGGGGTAATGACACCTGTAAAGCCTACCTTCTAGGGTTGTTGTGAGGCTCAAGTGAGACCGTGCGTAGAAAGCACTTTGCAAACCTTTCAGTGCTTGCTGTCCACTATTGGTTCAGTTCTGCCCTGACTCAGGGTACAGCTGATAATTCTTCCCTACTTCCAAATCTAAATCTGAGATTCCCAGCTTGAAAGAGAAGCCAGTAAAGAAAAGTTATAATAAATTAAAGATTATATTCCCTAGCTTCAATTCAGTGGGTCTTATAATCAAGTGCTAAATAAGCTAGATGAAATAGGCTGGATGGGAGCACACTAAGTCTAAGCTACATAGACTGGGTCTTTTGAACTAAAGGAAACTGAAAGAATTTGAAACCAAGAAACACTTCAACAGACTGATTGCCACTTAACAAGAAAGAGGCTGGGATAAGTGAATATAAATGATTTCTTTTTCTGCTTAAAAGCATCTAGTCATATTTAATAAACTCAAAAATACACCACGTTGTGGTGCTCCAGGACTGGAGAGGGGCAACATGTTCTAATTTACAAAAACCAAGAGAAAAGAACTTGAAAACTGCACATTTGTCCCATTACTTCCTGACAGTGCAGTAGCCAGCTTTGCGAAAGTGGTTTCTGACCATGCATGGTATGAAAGGTGACCACTTCTTTTTGTGAATCTGAAAGTCATGCTCCGGATATAACCAGGGAAGAAAAGGAAAGAAAAAAAATCATACATAAATTACATAAGTGTGTGATTACAAATGAAATGCATTAAATACAAACACGTGACTTTGGCTTGTTTATCAGCACTGTAAGCTTCTTGTTTTTAATAGAAATTAAATTAATTGCTTAATATACATAATGTAGTGTTTACTTTCCAGTCCAGTAGCTTTTTAACATTCACTTTCAAGTCCCATGGCAAATACTGTACAACCTCAAAATGTAGCCTGATGTGTGAACTACATCACCACCAGCAACATTAACACAAGAAGAAAGAGTTGGGTTTAACCATCAGCTAACAACAAGACAAAAAAGGAAACATCACACAGACCTGCAGTGGTATCAACATGCATTACCAGGCCAAGGTCCAAAGGAGCTAAACACACACTGTTTTCTAGCAAGTTGGGAGGACACATCAAAAAGGAATTGGGGCAGGGATGACTTTCAGCGAGATCCATAGCCATAGTAGTAAGGTTCATCAGGGCGGAATCCATAAGCTGTGGCGGGGCGTCCAAGAATGCCAACTGGCTGACCAAAACCATCAACTCCAAGACTAGAGGAAGAGGAAAAGAAATCACAGTTGTTATATTTCTCATCACAGAGACATATGGCATAGTTCAAAGAGGTCTGGTATTTTAGAATTCCAAGGTTCTATTCCTAATAGTGATACTGGTCTTTGGACTCATTAATTGACCCTTATTTTTTCTCTGCTCAAGTTTCTCTGTCCATTAAATGTACATAATAAAGCATAGCTTCAACAATTTAACAAAAGATTTTACATTCCAGAAAGTATCAATAGCTTTCTTCTAGTGGACAAAACAGAAGCAAGTGCGGAAAAGGGAGTTTTGCCAAGCTCTACTACTAATATATTGGCCTACATGAAGCTGGCATTACTAGCTAATCATCAGTATGGCATGTAAAACGTTGAAAGGTTGCACCTCTCAGTCAAGGAGGGCTAAGCCTTGCAATAAGGCTATGGCGGAATGAAGACTAGAACGAGGAATTCTGACACTCAGACCTCTGGAAGTTATGGTGTGTGTAATTTTTAAAGCCTGTTGCTGAATTTTTGAAGCATAATGTAATCAAACAGTAAATTTCTTCTTGTGACTGATAAAAGGACAAAAGTTGATTCTGGACAAATGCATTGCACGTTAATAACCAGAAGCCAAGAGCTAATCTGCTGTGTGGTAAACACGGAAAACCTAAAGGATGGAGAACTTTATTATATTTAAAAGTGATTATCTGATCATCAACAAATTATTAGGAAATGAATCTGTTTTCTAGATTATCAGAACAATCAAAGAAACACACAGCAATGGGGCAAAGTATTCAGTGTGCCAGGCAAATGGAGTGGTTACAACATGCTCATGCAGAGCTCATGCAGTGGGTTCTGGTTCAGCTGTTACCCTGCCACCCCCCCTCCCCTTTTAAAAGAAACCCATTATAGAAAAATTCAGAAAAAATAGGTAAATGAATTATTTTATATCATTTTAACATCCTGCTGCTTAGAAAGATACCTAGGCCCTCACCATAAAAACCATAAAAAAAACTTGTTAGCATACTATCAAAAAATCCACACAAACAAAAAACCCAGCCTTAACTAAGAAATCTTTGTAGAAATAACAATGACAGGTTTAGGGACTTTAAAAGGAAATTTCTATCTTTGGTAGGAACAGTGCCAGACTAAAATTTAAATATCAAGCAACACACAAAATACATCTCCCCCTTATATGTGTCTGTTTTCAGGGCTCAGGGGAGTATGGTTTCTGGTAAAAAAAAAATATTGACCCCAATATAGGCTATACTTGCCCCTCAGATCTAGCTTTCATTGTGTTGTGTAATCAGTGTTATTTTTCAGCCTACTTTTTCTTTCCTTTCATAGTGATCTTATATTAAGGGCAGTACCTATATTTCAGATCATCTTTATTTGTACATTTGCTTACTCTGATAGAGTTCTAGAAAATTAAAAATGTTTCTCTTTGAAATATGTAATTTTAAAAGGTTGGTGGAATCTATCAGTATGATTTTTACTATGACTTGGAACCAATTTTTCCCCTTATACCCATCCCCCGATTTGGGAGCACATCTCAAAATTTTTTTAAAAAGGCAGTACGAAAATATGATTTCAGAGATTATGGATATTGTTTCAGAAATGCATCTATCCCTGGGAGTGAGGCACACTACATCTTTTTACTAGTAGAGAAAAGGCTGGTCTACCCACAATAGATGGGAAACAGCTTTGTGGAAGAGTGCTAAAATACTACTTTGTTCTAAGGCACTACTACAGATAAGAAACATGGACCTAGTCAAACTCTTGGTTACTAAAGGATTGCTTATATAATTTATGGTTTATCCAAGTGCCTTACTATGCTTTCTCTTTCTCTGCATTTTACTGACTACATTTTAACATCTTTACTAGAGATTGTATGTGGTCAGAGATGTGTGAAACTCAAAAGTAATTTTGCCACTTATTAGCAACAACTCATTAAAATTTTAATGGAAATAAAAGTTTAAAATTAATTGCCAAAATACATTTTGGGGATCATCTATTTGTGCTAAGGGATAATGGCTGGTGAGCTGGCCTCGGAATCAGCTGGCTGTGTGACCCTGGATAAGACAACCTCTGTCATCTAAGGAATTCTCTACAACTATAAATTTCAGGCAAGGTGTCAACTGTATCACTAGGAGGAGTTTAGTCATCTGGGAATTAGTTCCTTATATTAATGAAATCCCAGGTGCAGTCTGTCTCCTATTGATTATTTCTAGGATTACTCATTTAAAGATAATTTAACCCTCATTCTCAATGTTTGGATCTCAAACTGAGTTCTTTAAACCTGGAAAATATCATAAATCAATGTACTTCCTTGGAAGTACTGAGAATAATAACCCAAATAATATATTATTGTTCACTAGAAGAGGTAAAGCCTCAATCGGTTTTTTTCTTGATATTTAAACCTGAGCATAGTGACCACAAAGGGAGAAAAAGAGGACCTTCCTAAGAGTAAAAAATGATACTTCAACACCAACTACATTATCTAAAACCTAAATACGTCTAAGAATATAAGTGTATATCCCAGCTGGTCTACAATTGCCATTGTAAACTAAGTCTTAGAAGTCCATTGGCACTGAGCTAGCAGCAGACTAATGCCTTAGAATGTTCTCTAAAATTAAAAGGGCTGAGATATTTGCTTAAAAGGACATTTATTATAATCCTAAATCTATAAATGGTCAACAGAAATAATTTGAAAAAAATATTGCACACATACATATATAATATACATGTATGTATAAGTGTATGTATGCTTGTGAAACAGAAAAAAAAATCCAGACGTTAAAGAGGCCTCTTTACATGCAGCACATTGCAAGGGAGGATACCAGCCAGTGATAAGGGCAGGGGAAAGGTGAATGAATCTGTTCTTAGCCTCTTGCCAAGTCTCTTTGCCTCACTTCTGTAAAAGGAGATCACCTACCTCAGTGGTTTGTTAGGCTTAGTTAATGCATATTTGTAAAGCATTTCGAAATCCTTGGATGAAAAGTGCTGCATAAGCGAAAAGCATTATCATGTTATTAACATTAGATTACAGGGACTATGGATTTCTTTTCTTCTTTTATAATCCCAGGTCAGTGATATAAACATACAACAAATAAGGAGTATTAGGCATTTGAGTGGATACTAGGAACAAAAGATAGATAATTGACTTCAAGTCAATTCTTGTTGAATTGACAAGAGACCTTTGAGATTATCTATATCATCTATAATCTTCTGGAACAATTCCAATGACCAGTTGGTCACAAATCCACCCTTCTACCAGTTACTTTCTGAATATCCCCTGAAGGCATGCATGCTGGAGAAGTCCCAGAAAGCAGTTTTCTCCTACCTCTCCTTTCTCCCAAAGTACTAGTTAGTAGCAGCCTAAAATGATTTGAATAATCCTATCCAGTTGCCTTAGGCAAAATCTACGGCACAGAAGAAATAATTAGGAAGAGATTTGATAGCTCTTAAATGGATTCCCTTCCATCAAAATGGCAGGGAACAAAATTGGGAATCATCATATCTGAACCTGAAATTAATAACAGAGACTCTCTCTTGTGCACAGGAGAATGGTGGGGTTCCATTCTATCCATTGGCAAATTTTTGTCAGGCCAGAGGTTTACGGGATAGGGGAAGAGGGATCTAGGCTTCATGAGAAGAGTTTCCTGGTTTGGCACTTTACAATTTAAGCTATAATGCAGGGAAACTGTGTTTCCTGTCAAGTAGGAAAAACTGTGAAGGTCTTCCTGGTTAGGCAGTGACTGTATCTCGAAAGTCAGAGAAAGATTTTCCCTGATAGAGAGCCCTCATGAGAGAGAATCCTGGTGATGGACAGAAGGAGCTGACAGGTTGCTAAAGGAGAATCCACCACTGAGGATAACACCTGAAGCCCCCTGCAGCAGGGGAGGGATCTGTGCGTTGGTAACTGAGGTGGTAAAGAGACTTGGGAGAGGGTTACTTGCCAGTGGGATCTGTTACTTTCCTTTGCAAGCTTCTGGGTTGGCTTGTGCAGCGCCACCTTCGATGTGGTGGGTGTGGGAGTGTGAGCTGGACATTAGCAATTGGCCTTGTCTGTTGTTACTTCATTGAATTGCTGCCTAAATTAGGATTCTTGATGTCCTAGACCATAGAGAGAACCAAGAGTGCTTTATTTCTTGTCCACAGTTCTTACTTTGGAGAGGTCTGAGAGTTGAGGAGCAGAGAAAATGTCTAGCCCGCCCTCTGGTTGGTCACATGACCTAGAATGGTGCTATAATGCTATCTGGTTTCCTTCTACCTCCTGATACAATTTTTCTTTAATTTTGCGACTAGACTAGATAACTATGGCGCCTCTAGGTCGAGCTGCCTGGAGTCAGGGACTGCCATCTACCTGATTTTTTCATCTGTAAAATGAAGGTGATAAAAGCCCCTGTCTCTCAGTGTTGTTTGTAAAGTGCTTACTCCACACAGCAGCGCCCACTGTTGTGCTCGAGAAAGGCTTGTTTCCATCTTTCCTCCCATAAGAAATCATGCGCCAAAAGTGTGCTGAGAGAGTTCATCCACTTCTTCAACCTGAAGCATTTGAAAGTCAGGGACCTCAGACACTGTTTAGTTCAACCAGTAATACCTGAAGAGAAATTCTCACTACAACCCATGTGATAAGGGCTCCCTTCAGCCTCTGTTTGAAGACTCCCAGTGACGGGGAACTCACTACCTCTTGGGGTGGCCTATGCTACTTAGGGACCCCTCAAGGGGGGAGAATATTTTTCCCGACACCAAGCCTAGATTTGTCTCTTTGCGACCTCTATGATCACGCCTCATTCTGGACTCTGAGGTCAAATAAGTCTGATCCCTCAGTTATCTTGTCTTGCCTACATCTTCTCTTTTCCATAAGTCCTTCTTCTGAGCCTAGGATGACATGGACTTAAGGTCCTTCACCATCCTGCTGACGTTCCTCTGGACACTTTTCAGCTGATAAATGTCCTCTCTGAACTGTAGTGCGCAGAACTGAACACAGTACTCCAGATGTGCTCTGGACAGTC